ATAGATGTACTGAATGTGAGGAGAATTGATTGAATTAATGTACTCATAGGACGACGCGTGGAAAATATACTTTGAATACCCGGCGCGAGAAATTGTTGACGAGTTTGCGATGAGATATGGCATCGAATCTATATACCAGGCCATGACGTATGCCTTCCACTCAAACAATCAATTATTATCACATTTTAATTACTTTTTACACCTATTCAGACACTTTCACTGTTTGTCCACCAAATACTTATGTCAAGGCGTTCCGGCTGTGATGAGCACATTGTTGGCCAACATTAACGCATACTATGCACATACGGCCGCCTCATCTGCCGTCTCTGCCAGTGATCGCTTCGCCGCCTCTAATTTTGGGGTAAATTTGCATTTAAATACCCATTCATTACATCCATTAATATGTTTTGTAATTACTATGAATTCGCCGAAATTTTTTAATTCAATAAATTTTCATAATAATTCACATAATTATAAAAATAATTAAATAATATTCCATTATTTACTCGAATATATTATTCAAATATATTGTCTAACCTTAAAATTTGTCTGCATTTTAAACCTATAGAAAGAGAAATTCGTTAAACTTTTGGATCAATTGCATAATTCTCTTCGAATAGACTTATCCATGTATAGGGTATGTTGTGATGCATATCTATATATAACTTTACATTCAATATCTCACTAATAAATCAATGTCTTATTATAACACATCTACAGAACAACTTCCCCGCGTCAACACCTGAGAAACTACAGGATCTAAAGTCAACCGTAGATTTGTTGACAAGTATAACATTTTTCCGGATGAAAGTACAGGAGCTGTCGAGCCCTCCGCGTGCGAGTACTGTAGTGAAGGATTGCGAACATTGTTGGCCAACATTAACGCATACTATGCACATACGGCCGCCTCATCTGCCGTCTCTGCCAGTGATCGCTTCGCCGCCTCTAATTTTGGGGTAAATTTGCATTTAAATACCCATTCATTACATCTATTAATATGTTTTGTAATTACTATGAATTCGCCGAAATTTTATAATTCAATAAGTTTTTATAATAATTCATATAATTATAAAAATAATTAAATAATAGTCTATTATTTACTCGAAAACATATTATTCAAATATATTGTCTAACCTTAAAATTTGTCTGCATTTTAAACCTATAGAAAGAGAAATTCGTTAAACTTTTGGATCAATTGCATAATTCTCTTCGGATAGACTTATCCATGTATAGGGTATGTTGTGATGCATATCTATATATACATTCAATATCTTACTAATAAATCAATGTCTGTATTATAACACATATACAGAACAACTTCCCCGCTAGTTGTGGACTCTTTGATGTCCTAGATTTCAGTTGGCATCTAAACAACTGTTCATATTGTAAAAAGGCCTACTTTCATGTCCTCGACAGCTCGGGAGGCGCACGCTCATGACATCACTTCCTAACGCCCAAAGCCTGTCTTCGATCGACTTATCAATTCTTGTTTGAGAACTGCACTGAACTCTACGGAAGAGAATTCCAAACGGATCCCAACGAGAAGAAAGACGATAAGGACGAACACGGGCCCAGCCTTCAGAACCTCGACTTCTGGCATCGATTAGTCGCTCTTATGGTTTCCGTTATAGAAGAGGATAAGAATAGCTATTCTCCTGTTTTAAATCAGTAATCAATTGATTAATACTATTAGGAAATTAAAGAATTGTAATTATATGTCAATTATTTGATAGATTTCCACAAGAGTTGAATATCGGGCACTTGAGTGCGGCCACGATGTGGAGTCTCTTCGCGGTGGACATGAAGTACGCGCTCGAAGAACACGAACAAAACAGGTTCTGCAGAAGTTCTGCTTATATGAACCTCCACTTCAAAGTCAAGTGGTTTTATAACACGTATTGTAAAGATGTGCCACAATTCAAAGCCACAGTTCCTGAATATCCCGCGTAAGTCATAATCATTACAAACAATCATACAAACAATTATAGCAAATAATCTTAAACAACTTGTTTTAACCATCAGATGGTTTGAACCATTTGTGATGCAATGGCTCAACGAGAACGACGACGTCTCCCTTGAATACCTAAACAGTGCCTTTTTGAGAGATAAAAAGGATGGGGTATGTCATACATCTCAGCCATCCATTGCCTTCAATACAAATTAATGTCATATCGTGTTTGTCCAACAGTTCCAACAAAGTTCCGAACACTCGCTCTTCTCCAACTCAGTGGTCGATGTGTTCACTCAATTAACCCAATGTTTTGATGTGATCAGTAAACTCGAGTGTCCCGACCCTGAGATCGTTAAACGATATATGAAACGATTCGCGAAGACTATTGTCAAAGTGTTAGTACAGTGGTCGATGTGTTCACTCAATTAACCCAATGTTTTGATGTGATCAGTAAACTCGAGTGTCCCGACCCTGAGATCGTTAAACGATATATGAAACGATTCGCGAAGACTATTGTCAAAGTGTTAGTGGCGTACGCGGACATCGGCAAGAAGGAGTTTCACAACTATGTCGGACAAGAAAAAACTGTTAGTTTTGCGAACTAAAATTTATATTTAAAATATGCAATTTATTATAATGTGTTATTCTATTAAAGGCCTGTATATTAATGAATAATATTCAACAATTGAGAGTACAATTAGAAAAGATGTTTGAGTCGATGGGCGGAGAAAAAGTAATTATTTGTGATAATTGTCATAAATTGTATCATTAATTAAAATATGAATTTCTGATCAATAGCTGGAGACGGATGCGGCAAATATTCTTAAAGAATTACAACAGACTTTGAATTCAGTTCTCGACGATTTGAGCGCAGTATTTGCCACGAGGTATGATTATTAATGACAAATACAGTACAATTCAATTGTATGTAATTTGTATTGCAATCACAGTTACAGTGGTCGATGTGTTCACTCAATTAACCCAATGTTTTGATGTGATCAGTAAACTCGAGTGTCCCGACCCTGAGATCGTTAAACGATATATGAAACGATTCGCGAAGACTATTGTCAAAGTGTTAGTAGCGTATGCAGACATCGGCAAAAAGGAGTTCCACAACTATGTCGGACAAGAAAAAACTGTTAGTTTTGCGAACTTTTATTTATATTTTAAATATACAATTTATTATAATGTTATTCTATATTCTATTAAAGGCCTGTATATTAATGAACAATATTCAACAATTGAGAGTACAATTAGAAAAGATGTTTGAGTCGATGGGCGGAGAAAAAGTAATTATTTGTGATAATTGTCATAAATTGTATCATTAATTAAAATATCAATTTCTGATCAATAGCTGGAGACGGATGCGGCAAATATTCTCAAAGAATTACAACAGACTTTGAATTCAGTTCTCGACGATTTGAGCGCAGTATTTGCCACGAGGTATGATTATTAATGACAAATACAGTACAATTCAATTGTATGTAATTTGTATTGCAATCACAGTTTGGAGGGAACTATCAAACAAAGTGTACACGAACTGGGATGTCTATTGACTTCAATAAAGGGTTCGTCCGGCAGTTCAAACCAAGCAAACCAAGCGCTTCGCAATAGTGGCGAAGTGGCGGCCGATGCCGACCATATACTACATCCGCTGATGGATCTGTTGGACGGAAAGCTTTCAATGTTCGCTCAATTCTGTGAAAGAACTGTTCTGAAGAGACTCCTCAAAGAACTTTGGAAGATAGTTATGCATACATTAGAGAAGTCCATTGTATTGCCACCAATGACTGAGAAGAATGTCATTCTCCAGAACCTGCCGAACGCCAAAATTGAAGACGTGTCGCGACTTTTCAGAAATCATGTCTCAGCCAATCGTTTGCCAACTCTTGGAGTAATGGAGGTATGAATTTGATGCTCTAGTTTTGTATTCATCGCAACTAAATGTTATACTAATTGGGTTTTAGTCGCTTCAGTTTGAGAAGAATCTGAGTCCAAAACAGTGTGCAGTTCTTGACATCGCTTTGGAGACAATTAAGCAATACTTTCACGCGGGAGGCAATGGTTTGAAGAAGACATTCCTGGAAAAGAGCAGTGAATTACAGTCATTGCGATACGCGCTGTCCTTATATACACAAACCACTGACGCTCTAATCAAAACTTTTGTCACCACTCAAACCAAACAAGGTTTCAAAATTAGACATTACATCTAAAATTCAATTTTTGAAATTTTTATTTAAATGGTTTGTAAAACTATACTCAGATTTGCCGACACAAGAAGATGGACCGGTGGGTGATGTGTCCATACAAGTGGATCTATTCACACATCCGGGAACGGGTGAACATAAGATTACTGTCAAAGGTATAAATATTTTTATTTGCAAATAATAAGATACGTAAAAAACTAAAACCCATTGATACTAGTTGTGGCCTGTAATGAGCTCAAGTGGCCGAACACCAGTATGTTTAGGCCGTTTGTTGAGACGATTATGATTGGTCCAAATCTGAGCGATAAGAAGAGAAAGTTTGCGACCAAATCCAAGAATAACAATTGGTCCCCAAAATACAATGAAACCTTCCATTTGTAAGTCATATAACTCTAGAATCCATGTCTGAAGTGATATTAGACTCAAATATTGTGTAAACTTGTATTGAATAGCATAATAGGCAACGAAGAGGAGCCGACGTCCTTCGAGCTGCACATTGCGGTGAAAGACTACTGTTTCGCTCGAGACGACCGACTGGTTGGGGCGGCGATCATGCAGTTGCGTGACATCATAGAGCAGGGCTCGTGCGCGTGTTGGCTGCCATTGGGCCGACGGGTGCACATGGATGAGACGGGTTGGACAATATTGCGGATACTGTCGCAGCGATCTAACGATGAGGTCGCGCGAGAGTTCGTCAAACTCAAGTCAGACGTAAGAAACGACGAGAACATCGCAGAGACAACACAAAAACAACCGCCACAACAGCCGAACCCAACCCAACAATAACCTCATTATCGACTCCAGACATGCTCTTAATTATCACAGAATTTGTATCCATTCAACAAATTGTGTCATTAATTATTTCAATAATCATTTAAAAGTACATTTTGTGGTTGAATGATATGAATGATAAGATAGATTATCTGAATCGATGCCATATATATAGACATTTTGTCAAATACTAATCATTTATACATATGAAGAGAATATCGCATAAAAATGTTTGAATTTGTTATGACTTTCTAAACTGATGTTAATATTGTGTTAACTCGTATTGTATTGAATTAGGATTGAGTTGAATATATAAATAGAGATATTGTTTGTTAATAAGACTATATATAGTGAACACATATTCTATACTAATATTCATCCCAATCGACAATACGAGTCAAAAGAGATGACAAATTCTGACAATAATTGAGTTTATATTATATAATATATTGAAAACCCATTTCTTATCTTTTTTATTATGAGTTATATTTTTATAAAAGTTATAAAAAGACCAATAATTTGCAAATTTATGCACATTTTTAATATTGTATGTAATTATCTCTCAAACAAATATTATTAAACGAAGGTCTTTCCTAATTGTGTGAAAGGGTGTCCAATAGTAATAATACATGAATACCATTAACCGCACCAACAGATCATTCAGTGCCAACCCCTTCATTATATCAAAACTTTATTACCAATAATTCCAACGCGTTTACCAATAATAATCAAATCAATTACTTTCCAAGCATATCATTTAAGTTATCATTTTTCTGATCAATATTATTTATTAATGTTATGTTTGCCCAAAATTACCCCAAATTTATATATTATTAATAATATTATAATTTAATACAACTATTTATTAAGATTTTATTGCAGAATATTATCATTATTTATTGTTAAGAATATTAATAATTATGTGAAATATTTATGACACTTATTGTTGAATAATCTCTTAGGAGAAACGCCTAAAGCCTTCACATTTAAAGGGAAACCTGTATTTGTTAATAAGTGTGACACATATATAATAATATAAATATATTATATTTCAAATTTCTATCAATTCCTGTGATTTAAGAAACTAATCGTTTTGAATGATTATTAAATTCAATAAAACAGTTAATCTTTTTCAGTAATCTTTTTAATTTATTAATGCATTAAAAGGCATACAGTTGTCAGCCATTATCTGATGGCAACCTTCCATTCGTCGATGACATACCTTTCGATATTCTTGTGGATCACATTCACCTCATCCTTAGTGAGCATTCGTTCGTGACTTCTGTAGACAATGCGATAGGTGTGTGACTTCTTGCCCGCTTTGCTGGTGTACTGATCGATCACTTTCACCTGTTCTATCAGATCTCCGCCCATATTTCTGACCAAATCATAGAAATCATTGCAACACCAGTTCACTTCGGACGGCAACCAAAACGATATGTCGAACACCAGCTGTGGATGCGATGAAATTGGTTTATAAACTATTTGATCCAAATGTGACGCGTTTTCAAATTGCGATAAAAATCCGGTATCTTTGGTCCAAAAGAGTCTAATGTCGGGTATTTGGTAGCGAAGCATTGCCAGCCTTTCCAAACCTATACCTAACGCCCAACCAATACTCTCGTTGTGTCCGGCGTTGGCCAACAGTTTATGCTCAACAATACCGGAGCCCAAGATCTCGATCCAGTCGTTGTTGTGGTATATCTCGAGTTCCCAACTCGGATGAGTGAATGGAAAGTAAGCCGAAACCCATCGCATCTCAATGTCCTGTCGTAACAAATATCGCACAAACGACTCAATCGTTGTCTTCATTTCGCGTTCAATTATATCCACCACTTGTTGGCAATGGTTTTCTTGTTTGGTCTCCGTTTTCAACCCTTTCTGACTCTCGAATATGGCTTTAATACCTCTTTCGGCTAACTATTGAGACATTGGATGAGTTAAGAGACAAACATAGATGAAAACGAGAAAAGAGTGGTCAGACCTGAGGACTGTTGCGATTGTAAAGCCTGAAGACTTCGCATTGATGAAAGGCCGAGTGATGTCTTCTATCGATTTCGTCCCTCCGATAGACATCAGCGATGCAGAGGAAAGCCGTGGATCTCTTGTGGAGGCAGTGGTTCTGATGAGCGCTGGTATGCGATCGGAGGACATAGTCTTTGTTCACATAATACGTGTCACTCTTCTTACGCGAGACGTGATCTTCGGGTATGAATAGTGAGTCAAAGTTGGCCTTCAAGTCGACGACCGGATCCTCGAAGACGAAGGCGTCGTAATCGTGAAAGTAATGGCGAATCCCTTCAGACAACAGATACAAAGGATTGCCTCTCTTTAGGTAGAGATTGCGTCCGATATGTGAGACCAGCTTTGGTGTGATATTAGTCCAGTTGTCCACCAAATACTTGTTGTCCAATATATTGACCGACTCTTTGAATACAAAACCACTTTCTTTTGCTTTTGTACTCAATTTGTGTCCATTTATTGCATTCAAAACGTATTGTCTTTTCGTTAAAATCCTGTCTTTAAATTTGAAAAACATTTTGTGTTTACTTTTACACCAAAAACTTGTGAGACATGAGAGTCACGTGTTTTGTGACGAAATTTCACAATGCATTTCATTTGCAACATTTTATGAATAAAATTGTTTCAAACTTCAAAACCTTGTCTTTTTATAGTTTTGTTTACAATTTAGTGACTTTAGAATTAACTTTAAATCATTTAATATAATTAAACAATATTTGAATTAAAATTTTATTTATATGAATATTGTATACATAAAAATAATTTAAAATTAATAATTATTTTATTCTATAAATCAAATAATGTTAACAGTAATGAAAATATCAGTGAAATATTTTGAAGTGTTTTTATTGAGGCAACAAAACTCGGGCAACATTTTACTCAACAAATACCCAATTCAAGTGCTTTTCCAAAGGATTTAACATTTAGCATAAATATTGTGGTCATTATTTGGCGAATAGTATGTGATTTAGTAGATTAGGAGGGGTGTAGAGGAGGTGGTCATCACTGATGGCAACTATAAGTCAATTTGAGAGCACTTCTTCTGAATATCCTTCAGTAGAGACTTTCCCTCATCTCTGGTCTCTGAGAAAGTGATACACTTTTGAGCGGCCATTTGTGCCAATTTGAGTTCGCCTTTGTTGAGGTGATAGTTGGCGAGAAACTTGTAGGCGTGGGCGACGTCTGAACTCGTGTTCTGGCGGTCGGCGCCGTCGGCTGCGGACGCGCGCGATATAAAGTCGGTGTAAGCGAGGGCTGCCTTTTCGTTCTCATTGAGGCGTTCGTAAAGCAGTGCGAGTTTGAAGAGCGCTAACCCCCCGGCCTTCCAGTAACACTTGATAGCGTCGTGATTGCGCTCCAACTTCTCTAACGTCTCGCCCGTCGCGATCATCATTCGCGAGTCGTTTGGCCGCAAACAGTGGGCCACTGAGTAGTAGTACAGACAATAGGCGGGCATTTTGAGTATATCGTAAGTCTGGCCCAATCCATACCACGCCCTATAGTCTCGTTTGTTGCACTTAATGGCCGAACGATAGGCCTGAATGGCGGCGCCGGTGTTCTTCATCTCCATGTATTCGTGTCCCATCAGAGTCCAGGCCGACAGATGCCGGGGATTCAGTTGTAACGCACGCGAGAAGTACACCACAGCTTTGGGGTGTTGTGAACGAAGGCTATAGAAGTTGGCGATACAACAGCACGTCTCCACTCGGAAGGGGTCGATATCATTGGCCGAATGGGCCAAACAACTCAATTCTGTCCGCATGTCCTTAACGTACAGCAAATTACTGTAGATATCCATAGCGTCGAGTCGGGCCGGATCTGAAGCGCGGATCTGTTTAAACAAATCAATGGCTCCGTCGACGTCACGTAAGTTGTGTTTTGCGATCGCTATTTGGCTCAACAGGTAATTACAAGAAGTGAACCATTGCTGAAGTGTTGTGTACAGATTCAAGGCGTCTTCGTTTAGCTGTAGTTCCAGATAGACGTCGCCTAAGAAGAGTCTCTTAAACCAATGGTCGGGCAATTGAAGTGAATTCAACTGTGATTTCTCGTCGATTATAAGCGACAACTGATGCCAAGAACACCAATTCAATGGATCCAATCGTACGCTTCGCGACAACACATCCATCGCTTCCCAATTGAGCTCAAGTTTAAGCAAAACAATTGCGTAAACGTATAAAAGATACGAATCGTTGATAAAGTCTTCGCCCGAAGAGTAGAGATCCTGTAATTCGTTCTTCAATTCGGTGAACAATTTGATGGCCGAATCGGTTGCCATGCAATTGGTTTCTGCCATTCGGTCCAATCGTTTCTTCTCTGCCGACAAATACCGCGAATAAAAGTACAGAAATTTGATTTCAGAGACCATCGAGTCTTTGGTGAAGAACGCCGTCCTCTCGTATTCACTCAAATCATAACAACTTTTGGCCAACAGATACTTGGGATCAGTCATCACGTGAATCATGTCGTTCATCGAGAAACCCGTATACGAGTCGTTCATATCTGTGCTCAAGTCTTCGTGCAATCGCTTCTCATCCATAGTCTTCGTCAGCGACAGCAACAGCTCTGAAGACCATTTGGACGACTGTTTCAGACCACGGATGGCACTCTTATGATAGCATTCGAGCAAATCCTTTCGCATTACATCCAAATCCATGGCTTCGGAGGAAGGGATTCAATACCGGCGGCGAAGAAGCGATCAGTCGATGGATTCAATTGAATCTCAATTCAAAATTTGTTTCACAAATACCTGAATACGAGTCAAACAAATATAACGTTACGTCAAATCATATCCAAAATTCCCTTTTCTTATGGCATGCGTTGAGTAGTAATGAAAAGATTGCAAAACATTGCAAACCATTGAATAACACTATATGTGAGTGAAATCCACGAAATGCTGAGCAGTGAAGGAAAGCCAACATTGAATCAAGAAATCAAAACAGAAATCATTTGAAAAAAGTTGTAATAATTAGTAAATAATGAGTGAATTGTTTGTATCGTTTGCGGCAAACAATGCATTGAATGGATGTATAGTTTGAGCGCAAAGTGAGTGACCAGTAGTGCATTGAGACGTGATATGAGCCAAACATGTGTTAAATTATGATTAAATGTGTGATTAATTTGTTATAAACAATGCAATGAAAGCGCGATTTGATTGACATTTAAATGAATTGATTGTGTTTTGAAATGCTATCAAATCTGTGATCAATACAAACACTACTGAACTTTGAGATGAAAGGCTGCGTTAATTGACACAAACAATGGCTTTCGTGAAGAAGAGGAGAATCGATGCCCTAAGAGATGATCACTGGAGTCAATGGACGGACCCATTGATCGACAATTATGTGGATCTGTTTGAGAGAAGAAGCAAAAGAGCCAATACTTACACACAAATTAAGTCCAACGTAAACAATGAGAGAAACAATTATATGCTATTATCTGATCCCAAATGGATGGAGAAGTTCTTGAACGGCGAAATCGACTCTTCGTATTACGGTTCCGACAGATCCCAAAATGTGGTCGACTTTACGTCTTCGCGATCTATTGATAACAAAGGTCTCCGAAGAGCGGCACAACTGCCGCAAGAGTTCGGCACAAGACGTCTGTTGGCTAATAATCTGCTTCGAGAGCAACACTTCCCGTTTGAAACGTTTAATAAAGTGTTTGCCTCTCAATGGCTGAACGATCAACAGATTGTCTTCGGCACCAAATGCAACAAAGTTTGTATTCATTTAATGTCTATATTATGGTTAAAACTAATTTAATATTCTTTGGATCAGTTGGTAGTGTTGGATGTGATGAATAATAGGAAACATCTGATACCAACTCTTAAGAGTTCGCCCAAAAGAAGACTTCCCGAGAATCCGTGTGGTATTCACGCCATTGAAATCAATCCGTCGCGGACTCTGTTGGCCACCGGAGGCGATAACCCGAACGATGTGGCCGTTTATCGATTGCCAACTTTGGATCCATTTTGTGTCGGAGAAGTAAGTTTTGATGGCTTTTAATGATTATAAAACTCAAACATTTGTTTGCAATTTTGACGCGAAGAGAGCGCACGACGACTGGATATTTGACATGAAATGGTTGGACGACCAGTTCCTAGTGTCGGGTTCTCGTGACTCGACTCTAGCGCTCTGGCGTTTTGAAGACAACGAAACGAAGAACTCAGTGGACGACTCGTTAGTTCCCAAGTATTCCCATACGAAACCATTGCTTATCAAAGAGTGTAAAACTGCTGAGAAAATTCGTGCCGTTCTCTACAACCAGAGGACAGAAGTAATTATATATTAATGGATGTGTTTATAAGGAAACTAATGATTGGATTGTTGGACAGGAAGTGGCCATTCTATCGCTCAACGCTCACATTCATTTGTTTGACTCGCAAACACTAAACCAGAAGTTCTCAAAGTCGTTGCCGTTTTGTTTCGAAAACGTGTGTCTCTCACAGCAAAGTGACCGCAATATCTATGCCGTGGGCTCTAAATCTCACGTAACTATTTTGGACACAAACACATTGAAAGCCATCGAAAAGGTGGCCTCAAAAAGTCAAGGAACTGGAATCAGATCTCTTAGCTTTTGCAACGATTTGTTGACAATAGGAACCGGTGATGGATATGTCATGTTCTTTGACATTAGAGCCATGAAATATCTCGAATCTGACGGTCAGTCCGCTCTTAAGGCCAGCAAAGGATGTTATGTAAGAATTGTTGTAAATCTCA